GGGCGCTGGGGTGTCAATGGATCTGCCGAGTGTCCCCGGCTCGGGCTCCGATGGGGAAGGAGAACACGGTTCTGGAGTTTGGGATGGACTTTTGGCTTCTCCTCTGGCTCAGAAACCCCTCGGTTTCTTTCTGCCACCGCCCTTTAAAAAGGTTTTCTGACCCTTTATCTCAACAATTCCCGCTGGGGAATTGTTGAGTGGTGAAGACAAAAGCCGGGCGGGGCTGTGGCAGCATCCCTGGAGCCATGGCGGGCTTTGCTCTGATATCGTGAGATAGGATAAGTGGATTTGGGAGATGGGCACGAGTGAGGAGCGGCTGGGATGTGTGGCTTTGTCTCCTTTTCCAGGCAGGGTGGGGATCACGAGCATTTACAGCCCCACATGTCACATCCCTGCAGCCCCCAGCCCACCCAGCACCCACAGAACACCCCAAAAACACCCCCAAAACAGGGGACAGAGCTGGTGAGGTCTGCAGGAGGATGTGTTCAATCAGTAAATGGGATTTTGGGGATCTCAGCTGGAGCAATCCCAGCACCAGGCGGGTGCCCAGGGCTCTCTGGAGTGGGAGAACCTGCTTGGCCACGGCTGCAAAGGCAGAGCTCTGCTCCCCAGCGTGCCAGGGCAGGTTCTGTGCCTTTGCCAAGCATTCTGTAGGATTTGGGCTTTGCAGTGGGAGTGGGGTGTCCCCCACCTGTGAACCCTCCCTCATCCTGAACCAGCAGCCCCTCAGTTGATGGTGGTCCCGTGCCCAGGTTTTGGGATCCCTCCAAGACCACTGCCCTTTGCTTTTTCACTTCCAGCATTTTTGTAGATTTCTTCCCCCCTTGCAGACCCTGATGGGATCTCAGGGAGCATCACTGCACCCAGCAGGACAAACCTTCCTCCCCCTCTTTTCCAGGTGTAATTTTGGGACCTGTCTGGCCAGAAAAATCTGTTTTTCCCCCCAGAGGGCAGGCGCTGGGAGGAGCTGGGCTGAGGCAGAAGAACCTGAGCCAGTTCTCACCAGTGGTGGGTGAAAGGCTGACATTTCCCTGGAGCAGCTCTCTCCTAATCCCCATTTTCAGCCCCTTTTCACCATCCTGCTTCACCTTTGCTCCTGCACAGAGAATTTCTTGTTCAACCTCTCCCCACAACAACTTCTGCCCTCGTTCCTCTCGCGTGTCCCTGGTGGGATGGGGGATTGCTCACCCCATCAGATGATCAAAGCCGCTCCATGCTGCTGGGGCTGGGGTTTGTGGTCAATCCCAAACTGCAGCTGATGCCCACGGCCACTTCTGCTTTTGGCCAGGGTGGCTGTACCCACCAGGGTGCATCAGCCTTATCTCTGGCTTTTGTTTGATTTCACAGG